GATGGGGAGATGCAGGGCATGCTCGCCTTGTCTTTGGCCCCTTGGCGTGGGTCTTGGAAAAGGGATGGAGAGGAGAGCGGAGGAGATGCGCACTGAGTAGCCCAAGACCATGGGTCATCTGGGGAGCCAGGCCTGGTCTGCCAAGATGGCCTTGACTCTGTGCAGCGCCCAGTGCAGGGCAACTCCGGCATGGGACAGCTGCCAAGAAAGCCAGGCGCGCTGCGAGACCCCGGGCTCTGTGCTGCTTGAGGGCTCAGGCAGGAAGGCCCCTCCGGGGGCCTGCAGTTCTTCCAGGGCCACCTCCAAGGACCCCATGCGGTCCATGACTCTGGACAGAGGTGAGGGTTCCCTGAAGCAGCGGTCTTCTGGAGAATGTTGTCTGAGCCTTTTGGCAGAGCGGCTTGGAGCTGCACAAGTGTCTCCATACCTTCTGCGCTTGAGGGCCCTCACAGGAGGTCTTGGGAGGGGCCTTCTGTTCTTGACACGCGGTTCTGTGTGTCGGGAATCTGTGGCAGAGACAGGCTCAATTAATTCTTCACATCGGAGACCCGATTTCACTCAGCACCCACTCCCTCCACCCCCGCACCTGACAGCCATGCCAGAGGCTCCCTTTGCTTAACCCACCCAAATGCAGGTCACACCCACCACCATGCTGGCTCTCCCCTCAGCTCTTTAGGACTTGAAGCCCCATGAGGCAGTGAGGAGCAGCCCTGTCCTCCCTCTCCAGTGATGGCTTAGCTCCTAAGGCTCATGTGCCCTTAGGGGCCAGCCCAGACCTACCTCTTGGCCGGTGTTGTTTTGCAGGGGTAGACTCTGGCTGGTGCCTCCCTCTGTCTCTGGCAGGATATGGGCTCGCCCTGCTCTTCTTTTCTTCCAGGTGGCCCCTTGAGCTGTGGTGGTGGCGTGTGCGGGAGGAGCCAGCAGAGCTTTGCCTAGGTCCCTTCTGCCTAGGCTCCTCGACCTCCGGACTCTGCAAGCTGTCTGCTGAGGACAGAGGAGGTCATGAGTGACACCTGGTCCCTAAGCCTTCTCCCCAAGCAAGTCTGAGATGCCACTAGACGAGGCCTAGCTCCAAGACTGGCTAGAAAACCGCTCGAGGCCTCTCAGAGTCCCTATTCCCTCTTTGCCCAAGGCCTCCATGCAATTGAAGCCGCTTGGGATGTTCCCCAGCCTACACTCCCGCCAAGGGAGTCTCAGAAGCTGGCACAGCTATTGGCAAAGAACCGGATCCTCACCGCCGTGCCCCTCCTCCACGGCCCAACAACACCCATGGGCCACCACCTATTTTGGAATTCCCGAGGGCACCCACAGTGCAGCCTCCCACCTTCCTCACCTCCCCTAGGGCCGTCTCTTCATTCCCCTAGCCCATCAGTCTGTCCAAGCCTCACTACCCTCCAGACACTACCTTGTCTCACAGGAGAGGCCTCACTGTTCCTGCTGGGCATTTCCCTACTTTCTTCTTCCTTCTGGTCTACTGGCTGCTTTGTCTTGGATGGAGAGGGGCTGACGGCGTCTGAACACACCGATCCAGACTTCACATCTGTTTCACCCATGTTTCTTGGCTCCCAGAGCCTCAAGTCTGTCTGCCTCAGTCTTCCTGTGAGCTCCCTGGGGAATGATCCTGGTTGCAGAGTTGACTGGATTTAAGGTCTGACTCTAGGAGCCTCAGGGGCTTTGGACACGCCCATCTACAGGCCACACCCACAGAGAGCCTCTAAATTCAAACAGGATTATGCTTTCAATTTCCACAAAGTTTTCTTACTCTTGCTCTGTGTCTATCTCTCTCTCTCTCTCTCTCTCTCTCTCTCTCTCTCTCTCTCTTCCTCTCTCTCTCCATACTTTCTCTCAGTCTCTACCTTTTTTCTGTCTGACTCTTGACTTTTCTGTCTCCTCTTTCTTCTTCTCTTTCTCTTTGTCTCACATTGAGTCTTCGTGTGGAAATAGGGTGGGTTAATTAATTTCAGGCCTAGGAGGTGTGTTGGTGTGTGTGTGAATGTGTTTGTGTTTGTGTGTGTGTGTGTGTGTGTGTGTGTGTGTGTGTGTGTGTGACTGTAGGAATCCTTTAAGAGTATTCCATGCTCTGAGGTCATGTACACTGACAGACCACACCCTCTGGACGGAGCTATATTCCATTAAACTCCGTTATGGTTTGGATCTCCTTTCTTGATCCTGTCCATAGCGTCTCCACTAAATTTGGGGGGGGGGCTTTTATATTCAAGACCACATTGAAATAAGTTCTCGACTGTGATATATTACACAGAAAATGTAACATTTTTCATAATATGATGGATGGCTTTCACGTCCTGAAAATCTTTATTTCTGTCTCTCTATTATCTCTCTGTGTATCTCGCTCTTTTTTGCTCTCCCCAACTCACTGTGTGTGTGTGTGTGTGTGTGTTGGTTTTGGAAAGGTGTGAGTGTAAACACGGTTGACACTGTGATAGAGAGTGAGAACCCTTGAAGTTGGACTGAATGTATTTCTGCTACAAGCATGGGTGTGTCAGTAGTTGAGTAGGGTGGTTGTGTATTAATAGCCCTTACACACTTACAGACTTCACTGCTTAGTCATCAGGGATTAGGACTTCTTGAGAAGGTTTAGGGGTGCGATGTTAGAGTAGCAGGGCCATTCTTAAGGGTTCATGATGTGTGAAAGCAGTGGGTAGGCTTTCAGGCTTCAAATTAATCCCCAGCCAGGCTCATTGACTCATACTTCCAGCTGCCTGCAGATCAAGATGAAGAATTCTCAGCCTCCTCTCCATCTCCGTGCAGTGGAGACATCACATGTCTTGTAGTTTTTCTAGGTTTATTTCTTTTTGCCTATATGCAGGATTTTCAGGGTGTCTTTTTTGATCAATTCCATCTTTTTCAACCCTAAACGATTCCATAGCCTTTCATTTTCTATAGGAACAAGCATAGTCTCTTCCTCAAAGCAACATATCTTATTGATTTGCATTTTGTGGTTAAGACATTTTAAAAATATATAGGTTGGTTTAATCTAGCTGCCTTCACAATCCAATGTCTTTTAGCAGTTCTTATTTGTTCATCTGCTATCAATAAATTTAAAGACTACACTACAATATATAGGATCCAAACTCCCCATGCATTTTACATCTTTTCACAGCCTTTTCTTTTATATTACTTTACTCATTTTAAAGACTTGACTTTATTATTTTAACATTCTTTTTCTAAGGCTGTCTAAACCCTTTATCTTTTCTTTCCCAATCCTATGTACACTTTTAAACACATTGTACCCTGTTTAGAGGTGTCCTTCATCTGGATCTGTCTTTATTGCATATTTGCAATATTTTCTGTCTGCATGAGCAAAACTTAAACCACTGTGAAGCGTAGCTTATGGCGTACTGGTGGCTGGCTCTTCCCTTCTCAGTTCTCTGACAGCCTAGCCTTACAGTGGAGATATGCGGGAGCCACATCTACCACCCCAACTCTGGGAAATTTGTGGATCTACCTTGCCACATGCTGCCCACTGCTCATAAACCCCACTGAAATTTTTAATAGCAGGTCCTCTTAAAAATTGTGCTCCAGTTTCCTGCTAGCACTGAGTCTACCTGAGAGAAGGTGATTACCAGGAAGCCACTTCTTAAAGGAGCCATGCTCTGTTTGTAGCTAGCACTGAGCCTACCTACCTAAGAGAAGGCAGTTACCATGAAGCTGCATTTGACACCATTTTCGTTTGATTGGAACCATTTCTTAAGTGCTCTCAGATCTTATGTTGATATAGGTGCTGGATATTTGGGTGTCATTTGTAGGCTGAGTTTTTGTCAGGACTGTCAGCCCCCAAATAACCACACAGAGACTGACTATTAATTATAAAAGCTCAACCAATAGCTTAGGCTTGCTGCTAACTAGTTCTTTAAACTTACATGAACCCAATTTTTTTATTATTCATGCTTTACCATGGGGTGGTACCCTTTTTCACCATGACATGTACATTTCCTGCTTCTTCTCTCTCTGGTGTCAATTCTGCTGTCTCCCTGTGCCCTCTTTTTTGTGTGCAAGTCCTGCTCATCTTTGGCCAGTTGGCTCTTTATTAAAGCAGTGAGAGCAATACAGATACACAGCATACCAAATGATGATTTCATAGCACTTGGTTCTTGTTTATGAAAATTATCCCCTCACTCCAAGTCATAGATTTTCAAAATTCTTGCTAAATTGTCAACTTTCTTTCTCTCAGTGTCTGTAAGACAATTTAAAGGGAGTGGAACAGAGGAAACGTATAAAATTCCAAACCAAAAAATAGCTTAAAACTTGTAACAAAAGGTTAATAATTAAAAATTTATGTGCAGGTAATATTAATTTGATATTGTAGGCTTATATGTAACTTGAAATCAATTCTGGTCATCTCCTTTTCAATCTAAGGAGAAAACAACAGGTTCACAAGATATTTTGGATTTAGTATAGATTTTTATATAAGGATTTTTGTCCTAAAATTTTAAATAAAAACCAGTTTAATAACAAAACAAAATATATCTTATCAAAAATGTTTACAAATTTCTAAGGTGTACTCAGCTTAACAATAACTGACTTAAAGATATATATCCATCCTCTTTGTCTTTGTTAACATCGTTAAGTCATAATTATCTTGATAAACTGAGTCATATAAGAAACTGTTATATTCTATTATGGTATATTATGAAAGGACCAGAAAAAGTAAAGTTGCCAATCTCCCTTCAGTCTATATTCATAAAAAGAGCTTCCATTCAGAAATTTTTATTTTTATTATAGGCTATTAAATATTAAGCTTTGCTAAGTTCAGAACCATGCTTGTAAAATTATGTTAAGTACAACATAATTAATTACAGTAAGAAATGTATTCAGCTTCTTCTGTTTGTTTTCAAGGTACAGCCAAAAGCAAATAACTTAAAAACAAGCAAGGGTCATTGAGCTCAGATAAATTTAATAAATAATGATGGTCCTCAAGCTTGTCAGGATAAGTCATTTAAGATGTTTATCAGTGACCACACAAGGTCTCCAAGAAGATAATGGACATAGTGACAGTGGCTGCACCTGCTACCAGGGTCAGGCCTAAACTGTGGACAAGCAGGACACTGGAATCTGGAGACTTGATTGTCCCACTTTGCCCAGACAAAGTAAGGTCAGTTCCTCCCATGTTCCTTCTCCACAGAAATGTCTTGAATCTTCTGGGCCTGGCAGGCAAAGACAGATGCTGTTCTAGTACCTCAGTCCCCAACATAGAGACTAGATAATCCTGGGATGACTGTCTAGGTAATGGACCCATCTTTGTCATTTTAATTGATACACATGAAGCTTAAACTCACAAGGATATAAAAAACCAATTTATTAAGAGGGTCAATTAGAAAGACAAACTCACTGATACGGAGTAAGGCTGAAGCTGCCTCTGATCTCTCTCACATCAACTCTCCACCACCTGGGTATCCAACCATGCCAAACACAAGCTAGAGCAAGAGATTGAGCATGCTTTTTTCTCAGGCTTATCAGACCTTCACGTAGCACCCCAGGCTACAGCCCTAAAGCCAGTACCCAAAGCTATTGGCAGAATAAATTCCCAAAACACTGCCCCCTTTTGTCTAAATAAGAGGGTTCTAAACTTAATACAAAACTATATACAATATGAACAAATATCAAATATTGTTCAAAAGAAAGGGTAATAACACACACACACACACACCACCACCACCAACAACAACAACAACAGCAACAACAAAATAGAACTACAACTAACAAGAACAACATCAAGTAAGAAACACACACTAAATGTCTAGGCTATAGATAATTGGCAAATAACAGAAATTATTCTGTTACACCACAACTGTCCTATCCTTAAGAGTCTAAGTCTTGTACCTAAAATGCATTAGCTAAGATATGAGAGAATAGTGACTGTAACTATCTAGTCTTGAACCCCATCAAAGATCTGTGAAGAAAACAATATTACCTGAGGAAGCAGGAAGTGCAAGCAAGCAACTTCCAAGAGATGAAAGAAATGACAGAAACAGCTGGCTACATGGACAGTTGCCCAAAATCTTTCTGCAATATTGGGGCAACTGACTTTGGCTATAGGTCTAGAATATCTGACAGACCATTTTCAGAAGCAGGAAAATTAGAAAGACTCTCTTACCCTGTATTGGCAAGATTCAGCAGTTTTTTTTCCTTGAATTCTGTTTGTCCATTTTGGACAGAATGCTTACTGTTAGTAGTTGAGGCAAAGCAGTTCTTTGTCCAATAGGCAAGTTTTGCCAAGAAGAAAACAAGCTCCATATGGAGTGTCTCTGGTGCCCATCATTCTCTCAGAATAGCCTGGTGCTACCACAAGCAGACATGTCTCATGATAACAGAATTTTAAACTATTAAGACATTTAAATGCCATGTTCTGTAGGTCTTTGGAAGAATTTGAAGATTACCTATTTACGTGGAATACATCTCTGTTTTCCTAGAGAATATAACTAACATAATTAGGTATGACAAACATGGGTCACAATTATCCTGTAATTCTCAATAGCCTACATAGCTTACAAACTAATGCTACACATTATAGAAGTTAAAATCTTTAAACAGATGTGCAATATCAGGACAATGACCTCAGTTTTGTATCTTGATCAGAGTTAGAAATGTATAGTGCAATATGTCAAAATTATCCTTAAATTGTACCATTATACAAAATATGTTAATCAGAAGTAGAAATATACATGCAGTTAGACAAAAATAATTTTACATTTCTGTACAAAAATTTTGAAAACAGAAATAGGAATGTACATAATATGACAAACACAATTTCAAATTTGTATCAATATACAAATTATCTTAGTAATACAAAATGATTTTACATATGTATCAATAGATAAGAATCTATACCAATATAAATTGTCTATAGTTAATAGTTGCTAAAATAGTTTACAAGGAGATGCACTAATCTACCTTATTATCTTATTCTATCCCCTCTTTTTTCTATACCAAATGAGAATCTGAGTCTAATATTATTATGCCCTAACCTTATACTAATTTATGGCCAACACTGAGAAAAACCAAAAACCATTTGCTTCAATAGTTACTTCCACCTGTCTTGGGGTGATGATATCTCTAAGAGATCCTGTAAACAAAATTAAAGCAATGGTTACATTTCAAACAGACTAGCTGTAACATTTGTAACAACTCTCTGGGTAGCTGGTAAGGTTTATCTGTTTTTTTTATCTGAAGTTCTGCCTAGAGTGTTCTAACAGGTGGACTTTCTCAGCTAGCTCATTTGGAGTTGTCTTGAGCAGTCTGAAGCTGATGGTTAGGGGTTCAATGGCATCATTATGAAACAGGTAGAATCTTGTTGTGGAGGCTCACCTTCTTTCTGGAGACTTCAGTGAATACTGTTTGGAAGTTTTCTTGTGAAATGGGGAGAAGTGAAACAAAATTAATATGAAAACTGAAAGTTTAAGTTTTTGATAGATATGCATCCAAAGAAATGTACCAAAGAGTAGAAAATAAGTATGGAGAGAAAGAATTTTGGGGAGATAATAGTCCCAAGGTTTTTGGTTTTCTTCTGTCCCACATCAGGTGGCTCTTCTGTTATGAGACAGAAACTCTGAATTTTTCTTTTAACAACATGCTTGGATTTCAAAAAGAAGAGAACCACGCTCCAACTCCAAAGCCAGCTTTGATTTTTAATTGAGTCAGGACTACCACTATACTGAGAAGAAGAGAGATATAGATGTTTAGGTAGTGAGATTTTAACCTGCAGAGAATATTGGTACCATAGGTCAGATTTCTCTTTGCTTGGTAATTTTTTTTCTGGATAGCTTCCCCTTCTTTTAAAGTTATTTTTACATTCCAACCCCAGTTTCTCTTTTCTCCCCTGCTCCCTCCTCCAACCATTCCACACCCATCTACTTCTTAAGGGAAAAGAGCCTCCCTTCGGGAGTCTTCAAAGTGTTGGATACCAAACTGAGGCAGGACCAAAACCCTGCCCCTCAATCAAGCTGGGGAAGGTATCCCAACATAGGCAATGGGCTCCAAAAGCCAATTTATGTACCCAGGATAAGTTCTGGCCCCACTGCCTTCCCCCACCCCAAGCTGATCAAGCCCCATAACCATCGCCCACATTCAGAGGGCCCATTTGGTTCAATGCACATTCTTCTGGTATCAGGTCAGAGTCCATGAGTCACTGCTAGCTCAGGTCACCTGTCTCTGGAGTTTCCCCATCATGATCTTGACACCCATTGCTTATATGATCTTTTCTCCCTATCTTCAACTGAACTACAGGAGCTAAGGCCAGTGCTTGGTTATGCATCACCACAACTTCTTCCATCAGTTACTGGAAGTTGATTCTATGATGGGAGCTAGCATGGTCACTAAACTGATTACAGGGGAAGGCTAGTTCAGCCATCCCCTTCACTGTTGCTAGGAGTCTTAGGTGGGGGTCATTCAGACAAATCTCTAGCTTCTGGAAAAAAAAAACTTATGAATGCAATCAGTGTGGGAAGGTCCTCGGCCATAAAATAGCTTTTAGCCAGAAGTCCCACCTTGCCGTACATCAGAGAACTCACACCGGAGAAAAACCATATGAGTGCGCCCAGTGTGGCAAAGCTCATGGTCATAAACACGCCCTCACTGACCATCTAAGAATTCATACTGGAGAAAAGCCCTATGAATGTAATGAGTGTGGGAAGACCTTTAGACACAGCTCAAACCTTATGCAACATGTAAGATCTCACACAGGTGAGAAGCCTTATGAGTGTAAGGAATGTGGCAAATCCTTTAGGTATAATTCATCTCTTACTGAACATGTGAGAACGCACACAGGTGAAATACCATATGGTGTAATGAATGTGGCAAAGCTTTCAAGTACAGTTCATCCCTGACTAAACACATGTGAATTCATACTGGTGAGAAACCATTTGAATGTACTGAATGTGGGAAGACTTTTAGCAAAAAGTCACACCTGGTTATACATCAAAGGAGAAACCTTATAAATGTGATGAGTGTGGGAAAGCCTTTGGACACAGTTCATCTCTCACTTACCATATGAGGACTCACACAGGCGACTGTCCCTTTGAATGCAATCAATGTGGGAAAGCCTTCAAGCAAATCGAAGGCCTGACCCAACACCAGAGAGTTCACACCGGGGAGAAACCCTATGAATGTGCTGAGTGTGGGAAAGCCTTTAGTCAAAAGTCACACCTCATTGTCCATCAGAGAACTCACACCGGGGAGAAACCCTTTGAATGTTATGAGTGCGGGAAAGCCTTCAGTGCAAAATCACAACTTGTTATACATCAGAGATCCCACACTGGAGAGAAACCCTATGAGTGTAACGAATGTGGCAAAGCCTTCAAGCAGAATGCCTCTCTTACCAAACATATGAAAGTTCACTCCGAAGAGCAGTCTCATGGGGAAAATTAATGTAGGAAATCTCACAACCAACTGCTTTGGTCTTGTTTAACTTTAAAAGATGTTCTCGACTTGATGAAGTTAGAAAATCTTTTTAGGAAACCATTCCTTATATATGAGAGAATTTGAATATGGATCTTTACATAAGAGCGATGGATGGTAATAAAACTTAAGCCTGATCCTAAACCTTTACAAAAATACTGTATTTTACAGTTGTTATAAATTATCTCCACATTTAGAACAAAATGTGAAACTTTAAAAGTTGTGGATAAGGACCTGGGGAGATAGCTAAATCAGTAAAATTCTTCCTAAGCAAGTGTAAGGACCTGAATTCCATCCATAAGATCCATGTAAAAAGCTAGATGTGGTGGCATATGATGCAATCTCAGAATTGGGGAAGTTGAGACAGGAGAGTCCCTGAGACTAGCTGACCAGCTGCACTAGCCTAATCTGCAAGCCCTGTGTCACAGGGAGAAACTCTTTTAAAACAAGGCACAGGGCTCCAGAGGAACAATACTCAAGGTTGACATTTGGCCTGCACATGTGCACCCACACACATGACAACACACACATACACACACACACACACACAGTGTGATAATATTACAGCAACAAATGAACAGTAAAATCTGTCAACAATTCATTAAGCATTTGGGTGTTGTGTACTTGAGCAAAACAGTCAATATTTAATCTGCATTTATGTTTATTGCATACTTACTGCTTATGTGACAGAGTAGTTGTCCCCTCTGGTATTGTCTAGCTTTCTTTGTTAGTGTCTGTGTTAGCTGTGAATCAGTAGAAAACATTCTGTGTTTTTGAGACAGCATCTTAACCTGGCTAGCCAGGAGCTTGCTATGTAGACCAGAATGGCCTTGAACTAACAGAGATGTGCCCATCTCTGCCTCCCAAGTACTATGATTAAAGGATCAAATAGGAAACTTTAATGGGTTTTGTCTAGATGTTAAGAAAAACTGGAAAATGCTGAAAACAAAAACATGCTGGTAGAGAATGATACTCATATTGTGAAGTATAGAAAGAAAAGTGGGTTGTTGAGCACTGTGATGGGAGATTTCATTCTGTAAATATGTTTCTCGTATTGGTTAATGAATAAAATACTGTTGGCCAATAGGAAAGCAAGAAAGGCTGGACTAGGAGACAAAGAGAATTCAGGGGGATGTAAGCAGAGAGTCAACTTGTAAGGCCAAGAGAGCAGAGGTCTGGACCCTCTCTCCAGTAAGATAAGACCACATGGAAATACTTAGATTAATAGAAATATGTCAATATTTAAGACAGAGCTAGTTAATATGAAACAGTAGTAACAGGCCACAGCTTTATATCTAATACAGTGTCTCTGTGTATTATTTGGGGCTAGGGCAGCGGGGAAACTTGCTTGTAACAACACTGTACATAGTATGCTCTCATTGCAAATGAAGAGTGTGTGTTTGCCTCTTTTTCTGCCTCTCTGTGTACATATTTAGGTATTTATACTCATATATTTGTATGAATAGACTTGTGCTTTTTTAATCTAGAGGAAACGTTTAGTGGTTAGCACTAAATCCAAAAGTACAGGATTGAAGTCTGGCTTTTTATCATGTACATGTGTCTTATTGAAATATATATTAAAATACTTTTATATGCACAAATGAACACAGTTTATAAATACAGCTGAGTCTCTCTGACAGTATTGTTTGACAAAGTAACATGAGGTTTCTATGCTCATTTATGTACAATGAATTGGAGGCATATGGCACTTCACCTTGATATTGAATTTGCAAAGATTTTCCTATTAAACAAAGATTTTGTTAACATAATGATTCACAACTGTAACAATACTTTATTTATCTTTGTTGCTACTAAACTGGAGATGAATTCTGTTTGCAGATAAATGAAAGTGGTATTTGGAACCATCATCCCATTTTATTTCATATTCAGACAAATGCCTTAATCAGGGATTTCAACTGTATTGCAACAAATGTCTCCATACCCTCTTCTTGCCCAGTGAGGAAATATTGTTTCTGGTTTACATACTCTGCTTCTCTCAGAGTCTGCTTCATAATGCTTGTCAAGCATGCATTCCAGAAGGTGCTGTGCATCAGACTGACTTTTTCAAGAGACCTGTCTGGCCTTGTGTGCTCCACTAGCTAGGGTCTACTGCTGAGATCAAACACCAGGATTAAAAGCAACATGGGGATAAAGGTTTTAGTTCATCTTACAGCTCATAGTCCAACATCCAGGAAAGTAGGGCAGGAACTGAAGACAGGGACCCACAGGCGATAACTGAGGCAGAGGCCATGGGGTAGTACTGCTTACTGGCTTGCTTCTCATAGCTTGCTCAGCCTGCTCTATTATACATAGGACCACCAGCCCAGGGTCACACATTCCACAGTGAACTGGGAACTGTCACATCCAACATCAATCAAGAAAATGCAGCTCAGGCTTTCTCATGGGCCTTTCTAATTGGTGCATTTTCTCAACTGATGTTCCCTCACACACTCACAATCCTAGCACTTAGGGAGCTGAATCAAGAGGATCGCGACATTGCAGCAAGCTGAAAAAAATCCAGACCCCATCTCACTCTGTTCTCCCCAAAGAAAATATTTGACTGTATGTTAATGTTTATATTCTAACAGCATATTAACTAAGTCCTATGTCAAAAGAGTCATGTCCCAGTCATTAGAACTTGTCTAGTCCTATTCAATTCTCAGTGAAAATTTTATCTGCACAGTAGTGTAGCTTAATAATAGCCCCCATACAAATGGGTGACTGAACACTCTCTGCCCATCCTTCATTCTTGTTATTGCCTTCCTAACTCCCTCATTTCAGAAAACAATAAAGTATAAATATGAACAAAACAAATTGTGTGTGTGTGTGTGTACGTACATGTTTGTGTTAGAAGATCATCTCAAGGATATTGTGCCCCTATTTCCAAATAACTGACTCACTCTTGAGTGAAGAAAGTGCAATGTGAAATTTATTTGCGTTGGTTAATTTATTTTCTCACCAAATGGAAGTCTGGCACGATGCACAGAACTAGAAATGCCTTCATCTTTTAGAAGAATAAAGCAGTTGAAGGTTATGCCTCTGTTTACATTTCATGTCTTTTGAAGAGCCTTCAACAGTGCTATAGAAAAGATAAGCAGAAATTTAGAGTTGTCTGAACAGTAGGCATTAGTACTTACTTTTTTATGTACTAAAAATTATCATTGGTGAATGAAAAAAAAATGTCAAAAAGTACTAGATGTCAGGGCTGAGGGGTAGTTAGAGGGTAATGGGGTTCAATGAGGATCTGAGTCTGGATCCTCAGCAACTACATAAAAGCCAGAAAGATGGACATGTGTCTGTAAACAGGTGTGGGAGTGCAGGTGAATCCTGGGGCACATGGTTCAGTCATCTCCAGGTTCAATGAGAGACCCTTCAAAAACATGAAGGTGAGAACAAGAAGGTATCTGACATCACCCTCTGGCCTGCACTATATGGGCTAATGCATCTACACACACACACACACACACACACACACACACACACACACACACACACACACAATATGAGCAGTGAAAAACTATAGTATCAACCAAGAATATACAAACTTTGTTCATCACAATTGCCTGAAGGATTTGGTAGGACACTAACTTTTTAAGTACAAATTCTAGGGCCCCACCACAGATTAATGCAGAAATTCCAGAACTTATTTTTCATTTTCCTGTGGCAGGTGATTTGCATCCTGTTCATGAGCCTAACACATGTACATTCCAGCCTGGGGCCACGTCTCTTGTGACACAGAGGGTATGGTCAGGTGTGTCCTGGAGCTCTGGACCTGGGTTTTCCCTAGACACTGTCATTCTGAAGCACCCGTGATGGGAGGCCAAACTGCAGCTCCCATTCATCTTCAGTTTATACTCACACCAAGGCCAGCTCCTCCATCAGAGAACTCCACATTTCTGTCCCTACAGTTCATTGTCAGAATTCTTATGTAACTGCAGATATGAGCTGAAGGGGGTCCTGATGCATGAGACGATTGCACACTGTGCTTGCTTATATCTTTGTTGTGTAACAGTGTTCTCCAAACTTCCATTTAGTGTTCTAAAGAACAGACTCCAGGACTCCTAAAGAAGAGCTCTTTAAGGCTTAGGATGTAGGGCACGGAGAGGTGGCTCTGTGCTAAAGAGCACAGGATTCTCTTCCAGAGGACCTGGATTTGATTCCAAGAACTCACGTGGCAGGGTACAACTGCAACTCTTATTCCAGGGGATCCAATGGCCTCCTCTGGCCTCCATGGGAACCAGACACAGATGGTGCACAGATATAAATGCAGACAAAACACCCATTGTTTGGGATATTCAACCACACTGTGAACCCTGAGTTAGCATGTGCAATAATTACATAAATTTAACCCTGGATCAGCAGGCTGAGTTAGCACCTGGTCGATCATCAGGGGGCATCTGGGAGAGATAGAGAGATGCCCACAAGTAGTAGGGAGGGATTTTGAGTGGTGTGGCTTTGTTTGTGTGTTTGTTTTTGTTGAGCAGAAGGATGGGCTTTTGGGGAGACACAAGCAGAGGAGAATGTTAAGTTAGTTGCTATTCAACCTTTCTAAGCTAGCAGGTGTCCAAACAGCCTTTGAATCTTGAATCTTATTTATAAATAGAACAATAGAAATTTAGTTAAAGCTACCTTTAGCAGCAACAAGAGCCAGAGCCTGAGGGAACAGAATTCCAACCAGGCTGCAGCCTGAACAGCCAGGCCACTGCCAGAGAAGCAGGCTGGTAACTTCAGAGTCATAATTTCTGCCTGAAATAGCAGTTGATTAGGGCACAGCCACTGTGAGGAGGAGAAAACAACAACAACAATAACACACACACATAGAAATAGTTTTTAAAAAAGATTTAGGATGCAAACAACTCACAAGTCTCAGGAAATCCTTGAAACAAGACATACAAGCCTTCACCCTCCCCACGGTTATAAAAGCAGCAATGACTGCTGAGGTAACAGAACTCTCTCACCTGTTGGTGACTGCAGCTTGAGCTCCACGAATCTGTGACCCACCCTGTGCTGGGCTTTCACTAAAGAGCTGCCTTCAGATCACCCTTGCTCTTGTAGGTAACCTCTTACCCACACATGGGTAAGGACCCCAGAGATCAGAG